TTATTATTACATTTTAAATACAGAGCTGGTAGCAGAAATGTAAATATTTTACAAAGTTTCTTTTGGGTTATTATTAGTTATTTTCATAAAGAAACATTTAATATGCAAACACCTTCATAGTGCAACCTGATGTGCATGTCACAGTCTGTTGCCCGATGACAGGCGTGAGAAGTTTCATGCGCCGGCTCTTGCGGCTTAATTTAGAAAGTTCCGTGTTCTGCAATTCTTAATTCCGCTTCTGCCGGATTAATTGATCGTATTACAAGCGATCAATATCCAATCCCTATAGATATACCTGATCCCTATAGATATATCTGATCCCTATAGTTATATCTGATCTATACATTGACTCTTTAATGGGCTGGTTGATGTAGCAGTTATCATGAAGTTAAATATCTGATTGCTGCTTTATTGATGATTATTAATTGTAGCAATTCTGATCTTTTTTATGAAGTTTATTATTTTATTGTTTCATATCAGTGGCCACATTGTAGTCTTTTTGTTGGCAGTTTGGCATTTTTATTAATAGTCAGTTTAGTTGTATTATTATTTTTGATTGCATTCTGGGCTGCCCCGGTGGCACGGTACATTCTGTACCCTCCACTTGTAGCGCTACCTGTGCGGCGTGGCGTCTGTGCACGTTCCCCTGCATGTTCCTTGTGTATAGATCAGCAGGAGCTCACGTGTACTCTCACATGTAGGCTTGCCCGCCTTGTGTGCACAGCTGAGGACCGGCCCCCAGGGGGCAGTGCGTCCGTCTGTGCTTCTCGGCGGCTACGGCTGATAGGCTGAATTATATTTTAAAAAATTAACACCGTGCTGTCTTTCGCCTTTTCGCAGGACACGTACAAGCTGCCGCACCGTCTCATCGAGAAGAAGCGCCGAGATCGGATCAACGAATGCATATCGCAGCTCAAGGACCTGCTGCCGGAGCATCTCAAGCTGACCGTAAGTGAATCAGGGCTCAGAGCGTGACTTGGGTAAATGATTTGGCACCGGGGGGGGGGCGGAATTAAGCTGTTTTCACAATAGCCGCATCACATGCCTCTTTGCCGGCTTCATGTGACACCCATGAGATGCTCTGCATGCATGTGACAACCCACGGGTAGGGCGAGGATAATTTGGAAACCGACCGAAGGCCCATGTGACCCAATGTTTTGTTACATAATTCACTTACAGAGTTATAAGCATGCGAAGGAAGGATCCGGCTGACAGCTGATCATTACTCAGACCGGCGCCACTGGCGACCAACGGCGCAACAATAGTATGAGGCTCCAGTTTTGCAACATTGTTGGCAAGTGGAATCCAATGCCGCCATCTTATATATCGGGGACACCTACTATGGTGAAACCTCCCCCACCCTAACCCATCACTATAGTCCTTGCACACCCGAATGATAGACCCGTGCCTCTTATGTCTGCTGGTGACAAAGTGACACCTTCCATATGAGGTTTATGATTAAATCTGCGGCTTTCATTCAAATCATCGTGCCACCGAGGTCCTTCTTCAGGCACTTCGTGTTATAGGGTGGCGACTGTCTCCCAATTGTGCTCCTGGGTTGTCACCAGGGCCGGATTTACTTTCTCTGCTGCCCAAGGCCAGGTTCCTCAATGCGCCCCTCACAAAGCCGGGCTAAATGTAGAAAACAACTACCCGCCCGGCGCCCTTAACTGCAGGTGCCGGGCATCGGGAGATAGGAATTCCACACCCCTGCTGCCCCTCTACTTCCTGCTGCCCCAAGGCCGGGCCTCGGTTGACCTTGCGGGAAATCCAACAATGGTTGTCACCCTAATAAATATGAAGAAGCCACTCGCACTCCAGCTCAAGTTCAGTCAATATGTTATTGACCTCTGCGGTGTCGCAGCATGGTGACGT